TATATATATATATATTATCACGATCCCAAATTCTCTCTGTAGGATGTCGTGACAGCACCTAGTCTCTAAAACTAGGTAAGCCTAACAACATGCAGAATAATTAAAATAATAACTTAAAATCTCAAAACTTTAACAACTGCATATATAAATCTGTAACTCAATATGTACAATTCCCAAAACCAGATAAAATATAAGTCACAGGCTCTAAGTAACAGTACTGAACAATCATATACATCATTGTCTATAATAGTGTAATAAAATAAGGAAAAACGAGATAGAAGGGGACTCCGAGGCTTGCGGACGCGGGCAAGTGTACCTTGAAGTCTCCAAAGCAACCTCAGCTAATTAATGCCGGAACTGATAGGAAGTACCAGGATCTGCACAAAAAGATGTGCAGAAGCGTAGCATGAGTATACCATAATGGCAGCTAGTAAGTGTCAAGCCTAACGAAATAAGTATTTACATGTTAAAGGAACAAACAACCAAGACAAATACAACAAATAGAGAAGGATCAATAAGAGCCACTACCGAGGTACCACCTCGTAGTCCCAAATCATAAAAGTAACTCACAATCTTTCCTTATATCACCGCGGGAGCCTTTACATTTGGTTTTAAAAAATTATTTTTTCCGAAATAAAATTCTGCGTTTTAGCCCACCTTATCGCACTGTGTGGTTTCTAGTAGTTCCCCTACTAGCCACGCGTATCAAGCCCACCTTATCTCACTGCATGAGTTTCAACCCCCAGACCTTATACTACCGCATGCGTATAAATATCACAACGTGTCATAATTCGTACCTCAAGTGTCCAGTATCACAACTTGCCCAAAACCAAACAATAATAGAATTTCACTTTAAGGAGCCCACAAATCAACCACAATGTACATAAAGTCTCAACAATAACAACCGGAGAGTAGCTCCATAAAATTATATTTCACAACTTACACTTTGTCTCAATAGGAACCACGACCATTGCAACTTAATACCAAATTCAGCAGCAAGATATTTCAAGAATAGCAATTTCAAGTAAAGAATTCAACAGTTAAATAATGAATACGGAATAAAGAAAACAAGTATTTCAACTAAACATGTAAGACAATTTTCAAATAAGAGATAAAGCAAGTAGATATGTGAATTTAGACTAAATATGATGACTATAACATGTTAAGTAACTCAATTAAAGCATGAAAGGAAAATACATAGCTAAAAACTAGAAATTTCAACATTTATCCCATGTACACACTCGTCACCTTGCGTTCACGGCTTTCACATATCATAATTATCACCACAATATCAAATTTTAAGGGAAATTTCCCTCACATAAGGTTAGACAAGTCACTTACCTCAAACCACGCTAAATCAATCAACTAGACGGCATTTTCCTCTATTTTCCAACTCCGAACGACTCGAATCTAGCCAAAATAATTTTATACTATAAATATAACTATAGAAAACTAATTTAAACAATGCAATTACGATCTTTGCAAAGAATCGAAAACTCTCCCCAAAAAGTCAACACGGGCCCGTGTCTCGGAACCCAACTAAAATTATAAAATCCGAACACCCATTCGATATCGAGTCCAACCATACAAGAATTATTCAAATCCAACCTCATTTCGCGTTTCAAAACTCAAAAATTTAGGCTAAGGAGTTTCTACCAATTTTTCGCAAATTCCAACTCCAAAGCACCAATTAAATGATGAAATTATCAATCGATTCATGTGAATTAATCAAAATGAGTTAGAATTCCTTCCCCCATAGTTCTCTCTGAAAATCGCTCGAAATGTCACCTCAAACCGAGCTCTCTAAGTCCCAAAATGAATTATGAATCAAACCTTCGAATTTTCCCCTTTTCTGCCTAGTTAAATCGCACATGCGACCTTACTGCTACATCTGTGGCTCCGCACCTGCAGAATTTGCATCGCAGGTGCGGATTTCACTTAACTCAGGAATTCTGCTTCTGCTCACAATACATCGCACCTACGAGTGTGCTCCTGCAGAGTATTCTCTGCTTCTGCGGAGGATGAACAAACAACCTCTTCCGCATCTGCGACCACTTCTCCGCACATGTAGAAGCGCAAATGCGGTCCACTCCTCACATCTTTGATCCCATATGGGCTAAGCCATTCTCGCACCTGCAATCACCAACTCGCTTTTGCGAGCCCGCACCTACAGAAAACCCCTCCGCAAGTGCGATGACACCAGAACAACCCAGCTTCAGCAGTCTCACAAATCCAAACTTGTTTCGGATTCGATCCGAATCACACCCGGGGCCATGGGGACCCCTTCCGAATATACCAACTAGTTCCAAAACACATAACAGATCTACTCGAGGCCAAAAATCACATCAAACAACTTAAATTCTATGAATCGCAAACCAAATTCAAGCCTAAGCAACTATGAGCTTCCGAATTCCGAAACCAATGCCGATTCATACCAAAACAACTTCGATTGACGCCAAATTTTGCATACAAGTCATAAATGATGTTACAGACATATTCCAACTTTCAAAATAGGGATCCGACCTTGATATCAATAAATTTTACTCCCGGTCAAACTTTTCAAAATTTTCCAACTTTTCAACTTTCGCCAATTTATGCCGAAACGACCTACAGACCTACAAAGCAACATCCGGACACGCTCCTAAGATCAAAATCACCATAAATAGATATTGAAACCATCAAAACTCATTCCGAAGTCAATTTCACACAAGTCCAACTACGGTCAACTCCTTCGACTTAACCTTCCAACTTAGGGACTATGTGTCCTATTTCACTCCGAAACTCACCCGAAACCAAAACAAACCACCCCAACAAGTTACATATCCACAATATAGAATAGAGGAAGCATAATATAGGGGATCGAGGNATATATATATATAAAATTTAGGGGTTCAGACGATGGTTGTATCCTGAACCCATTCTTTTGTCGGGCGCTAGTCAAAGTAGTAAAAAAGGGCAAGTGGGAAAGTAGCGAGCAGGAGAAGTGTTGGGCTTTGTGGCCGTTAACAGGAACAAATGAAGAGGAGCACAACACCCTCCACTCGATTGACTAATCAAATTCAAAGCGGCCAGCTTCTTTTGAATGGGTCACCAATAGAACCGTCGGTTCTTCACAATCTAAAAGCGGGACCACTTTAAAGTTACACGGTCTGGTTCCAAATCAGCCGTTCATTCAACACTGCTACAACCTCCGCACGCATTCGTCGACTGGCAGAAGTGCTTTTTCAATTTGTTATGGGTTCCAACCCATGGACTTGGTAGCAGACGGTTCAGACGATGGTTGTGTCCTGATCCCAGTCAGTGACACATCTCCTATCTCCTATATATATATATATATATATATATATATATATATATATATATATATATATATATATATATATATACAACTAACGAATATAGATAGTTTTGGCCACGGATTAAAAGTAATATTTGCCCACCAAATTTCATATTGGGGTTTCCTATTGAAGAATTAACTTAAATAGCTGTTCAATCAACCATTTAAATTAGAAATGGCTTGTGGAGGAATAATATATGTATAGTTCATGTATTATTTGTGTATAACCATGTGTAATTAGTGTATAATCTATATGTATAGCTAAAAACAGTAAGTAGTGGGTAAGGCCAGCTATTTGTGTAAATATCCCCTTATTTAGAAGAATTAACTGAAATAGCCGCTCACCCAACCGTTTTAATTAAAAATAGCTACTGGAAGTATAATATATGCATAGTTCGTGTATTATATGTGTACTAGATTTAAGGTACGTGTGTTGCACGTATAAATCTACCTATTAATAAAAGAATTGTATATAACAAGAATAAACTATGTATAATAGCAATTGGCGTCCTAATAGATCCAATATATATTTAAATGCAAAAATGAGTTTAATTACATTAACGTAATAGATGAGTTTAAAATTGTTGGATGTTGAACCTCCAAACATGAATGATTTAATTAGCTAAGTTAGTTATATAGCATTGGCAATGATAGATGTTTTATTGTATGAGATAGTATGATGTAATGTTTTTCAATATGTATCACCCAATATTTAAATCTAGGTTTTTATACAATTAAATTTATAGAAACAAGATTAATCTAAGCCAATATTAATATCCAAATAATATATTTAGCGTGTTTATGAAAAATACCAAGCATATGTTTTTAGATAGTAATATCTTATTATAATGGAGCAATAAATGGTTCAAGAATGTAAGGAATATCAATAAATGATAATAAATGACATTTATATAAATGATGGAGCAGGGTTCACCCGAGAGGGGTGAGATTTGTCCACTAATTTCTCCGACAAAGATAGATAATGATAAGTACTTGAATATTCTGATTCTTCCTGGATCGAGAGAGAAAGATATAAAAAGAGGTGTAAAGGCAAACTTTGTATGTATATGATAACGAGAGAGAATTTTCAAAGAATGTCAATATTGTTCTTTACAAAGTTATCAATCCCCTTTCTGGGGTTACATCTCTTCATATTTATAAGAATACATAGCGCCACAAAACCATAGATAGTACAACCTAGGGAATCCAAATCCTAAAACTATCCTTTACTGCGCGCCGAGGACAGATACTCGTCCTCGTCCTCGTCTTCTATTAAGCTACCTCGACCTCGATGATGATCTGCCTTCGTTATATGACCTCGACCTTTTGATATGTCGCAATGCCAGTGTATAGTAGACTTCAAAGGCTTATATATCCGTTAACCAAGTCAAATACATGATGCGAAGTTTTTCGCCTATACAATAGCCTCTTTATAGAGGATGTTCTTAGTGTATGTTGCATTGCTTCAACTAAACTTTCATGACTAATTTGTTTTTGTTGGAATCAATATTCCTCCTTAAAGTATACTATATAGTTGTCCATGTGAAAAAATATATATGCGACAAATATTGTCCAATTTTAAGGATTGTTTGACCCTGTAACTTATTTATCATCGACATATCTACAAAATATTTAACTTGTTCCCATACTGTAAAAATACCAACTATTAATCTATAGTTTCCACAAAGCAGTGAGACATATAAACAATAATCAAATTATACTCATCCCTTCAAGTTAAACAACTAACTAAGTAATAGTCAACTATTAAGATTTGGCAACTACCATGTCCATAAATACAACAACAACAACTTACCCAGAGTGTTCCTACAAGTGGGGTCTAGGGAAGGTAGAGTGTACGCATACCTTACCTCTGCTTTTAAAGGCAGAGAGACTGTTTCCGGGAGACCCTCGGCTCATGAAGGGGAGGGGCAATAACAAGCAAACCGATCTGACAACCATAGCAAAAAAAAATACAAACCTAGCAAAAGGTAATGCAATCAGAAAACCAAAACACAAGACAACAACAAGTAGTAACAGGAGACTAGGGGTGCAAATATAAATACAAAATAAAACACTCGACAACATAATGGTACAAACAAGTACAATAGTCTACCACCTAACCCTTTACCTTAATTCTTAACCTCAACACCTTTCTATCTATGGTCATGTCCTCAGTGAGCTGGAGCAAGCTCCTATACTTGTTTAATCACCTCTCCCTAATACTTCTTCGGCCTGCCTCAACCTCTGCGTCGACCCTCTCATACCAGCCTCTCACACCTCCTCACCGGAGTATCAAGGCCCCTCCTCATCACATGCCCGAACCATCTAAGTCTCGCCTCCAGCATCTTGTCCTCCACATGGGCCACACCCACCTTGTCCCTAATAACTTAATTTCTAATTTTATCTAACATGATACGCCCGCACATCCACCTCAACATCTTCATCTCCGCCACCCTCATCTTCTCGACATGGCATGTCTTGACCGGCAAACACTCCGCCCCAAACATCATAGTCGGTCAGATCATCACTCTATAGAACTTACTTTTAAGTTTTGGTGGCACATTCTTATCATAAAACACCGGAAGCGAGCCTCCATTTCATCCACCCCACCCTAATACGGTGTGTGACGTCCTCATCAATCTCCCCATTCCCTTGTATAATAGACCCAAGGTACTTGAAACTTTCTCTCTTAGGAATGGGTTGTGACTTAAGCCTCACGCCTTCGTCCTCTTCCTGAGTCGCGCCACTGAACTTGCGCTCCACATATCGTGTTTTGATCGTGCTCAACTTCAAACCTTTAGACTCCAAAGTTTGTGTACAAACCTCTAACCTCTCGTTAACACCACAATATGTCTCGTCAATCAGTACAATATCATTTGCAAACAACATGCACCACGACACCTCCCTTTGAATGTGACACGTCGATGTATCGATCGCTAGGGCAAACAGAAATGGGTTGAGGGCTGACCCCTGGTGCAGCCCCATCACAACCGAAAAGTGTTCTGAGTCCCCTCCCACTGTCCTCACCCGAGTCTTAGCACCCTCGTACATGTCTTGAATAGCCCTAATGTACGCAACAGAAATGCCTCTTGACTCCAAACACTTCCACAGCACCTCCCTCGGCACCTTATCGTAAGCCTTCTCTAATTCGATGAATACTATATGTAAATCCCTTTACTCTCTCTATACTGCTCCATAAACCTCCTAACAAGATGAATAGCTTCTATAGTCGAACACCCAGGCATAAATCTGATACTACGTCCATAAATACCAACATGAATTCGTGAGGTGGCACCTCACCTCTCTTAAGCCAAGAAACATATTTATCTTTTTTCTCCCTTTTTGTTGAGTTTTTCATCATTTTTTATTTATCTTATATTACAAATTCTATCTTCATAACTCACACCTCTTTACTTTCATAACTTACATTTTTAATAATCTTAATAACTCCCATACCCTTCATATTCATAACCTCCAAATGATTAATATACAAGTTTATAATAATCTATTATTGTGTTTCTTCATATGTACCTATATAAGGGCTTCTATGTTTTGAACAAAGATATTGAGGGGCATACTAACATACAGTATGTAATAAGTCTTTTACCTCCTTTTTCATATTTTTCTTTTTTTTACAAATTCTTTATTTTTTTCTCATAAATTTTAATTTTATTCTATGTGAGATTTTCCAAAGTATGTATCATCCAAAGGTAATCATTTACTCTATTCTATATTATAACTTGAGTATTAGATATGCTTAATATTTAGTTGAGGAACCCTTATATGCTTTTTGCAGATCATGGAGGTTGATGCTAGACAGTTTGAAGCAATTTATAGAGGATCCGAATCAAAGAGACAAGATTTGATTTATCATGACCTGATTCCATACAAGGTTGAGACTGCACCTAATGCCACCGCTAGGCAAGCACACAAGCGAATATACCAATTATTTATCCCATTTTCAACATATTTTAAATTACACCAAAATTCATGCAATAATGATAAGTCTTTTTAAACAAGTATCAACAAAAAAATATATAGTCTACTGCGATAAAAGCGACGACTACAACAGTACAGAAGTGCTACAAATATCCAAAACCCGGCGCCACAAGTACATGAGCAATCTAAGAAATACACAAACCACTAAGACTATTGTCTGAAAGTAATAGACAGAAATAGTAAATAATATAGAAGGAGACTCTGGTGATGCGGATCGTAGCAAAGCAAGAAGCTCACCCCTAAGTCTCCGCAACAGATCGGCTACGCGCCCGCGTGACCACTGGTGGAACCTGTCTCAGTACCTGCACATCACTGCAGAAGTGTAGCATGAGTACGAAGAATAACACGTACCCAGTAAGTATCTAGTCTAACCTCAAAGAAATAGTGATGAGGGATTGACTTGACACTTGCTAGAGGTCAATAATAATAATAAACATGCATAAAGTAGATACAGTGAACGTACAAAAAGTATCAATGAAACAAATAAAAATAACTACAATAAATGCAACTGGAATCCGTAACACACCACCAATATCTCATAATTGGCTGTGAAGACCCTATCTCAATTATGTCCAAACTGGAACACGTTTCGAATATTAAGCACAAAGTTGCCGAGGTGAACGGTCCGATCCTATAAGAATAATAGTACTCACAACTGCCAAGGAAAATGGCCCGATCCCATAAGAGTAGTGGTATTGCCGAGGCGAATGGCCCAATCCCATATAAATAGTAGTACTCAGAACTGCCGAGGTGAACGAGCCAATCCCATAAAAGTAGTGGTACTGCCGAGGGGTACGGACCGATCCCATAAGAGTGGTGGTACTACCTAGGCGAATGGTCTGAACCCATAAGAGTGATATTACCATATTGACGAGACGAACAACCCAATTCCATTAGAGTAGGGAAATCTACCTCACTCACGGAAGTACTTGCGACGCGAGAGTACATGGATTTTTCATAGTTATTAAATATTTCTCAAGTTTTTAAAGAAGAAGTCTACATCAATAATTGCAACTTTAAATCCCTAATTTTAGCTCTATTCGAGACAGTCAATACGCAAGATAATCAGAACAGTACAATTAAAAGCATTGTGTGGATCTAAGTCTACTCGGACATCTCATGGAATATAGCTACGCACGGACTCTCGTCACCTCATGCGTACGTATCTCCCCACACAAGAAATACACAATAACATACACCTAAGGGGATCAGCTCCCTCTTACAAAGTTAGGCAATAGACTAACCACACTCCAAAGCTCATTTCCGATCCAGAAATTCACTCTAAAGCCTCAAGTCGGTGCCGAACAATCCGAAACTAGCCAAATACTATAAGAATTAATCAATATATGCTTGTAAGCTCATAATTTAGTTATTATAGTAATTTCCCAACCCAACTTAAAATTGTCTAAAAATTCGCCCACGTGCCTAGATTTCAGAAATTTTCAAAGATAATTATAACCCATTGCCTCAGGAACTAAACTATATAATTTTCACTCAATTCCATAACCAATTTCGTGGTAAATTCTATTTTTACCAAAACCCTAGGTTCTTCATGAATCCTACAAGTTTTTACAATCTTTCCATGTTTAATCTACCTAAAACCCGCATAATTAACTTGAAAATAGGTAGAAGTTACTTACCTTAGGATATTGATGAAAATCCCCCTCCAATCTAAATCTCCCAAGATCAAGTGAAATTATGAGGAAAAAGGTCTATGTTTCGGATTAAAAACCCCACTGCCTCCAGCGATATTCGCACTTGCGGCAACACTATCGCACCTATGGCTCCGCTTCTGCGGATAATTCTTCACAGATGCGGAACTTGCCCAGGCCTTCCATTCTCGCTTCTGTAGGAAAAGCCTCGCTTCTGTGAGCCCGTTTCTGCAGAAAAAGGTTTGCATATGCGAACCCAAGCCGGTGGGCCCCCCTCCTCTTATGCGATCGCCTTCCTCACACCTGCGAGTTTACTGGTGCAACATATTCTCCACTCATGCGAACACTGGCCAATCCACGCCAGCCCGCTTCTACGATCAATGGCTCTCACCTGTGAGCTTGCACCTGTGGGTGGTCTTTTACAGGTGAAAACACACTACAACTGCTTATTCTTCAGGAATGATCTCAAGTCCAAACAAGTTCTGCACATCATCTGAATAGCACCTTGAGGCCCCCCGACGCCTTGCCCAAATATACCAACAAGTTCGTAAACACAAAACGGACTCGCTCGAACCCTCAGAATGCGTAAAAACATCGAAACTAAGAATCACACCCCAAATCAAATCAACTTATGAACTTCAAGTTCTTCCAACTTACTCCGAACGCGTCGAAACATACCTAAACTACTCGGAATGACACCAAATTTTGTGTGCAAGTCTTAAATAATCATACGGAACTATTCACAGTCTCAGAATACCAAACGGACCTCGATAACACCAAAACCTACTCCAAACTAAACTTAAAGAACTTAAAAACCTTCAATGCGCCAACTTTTAATACTAAGCGTTGAAATGCTCCCGGGTCATTCGAAACCCAATCCGAACATACGCCCAAGTCTAAAATCATCATACAAACATGTTGGAACTTTCAAATCCCAATTCTGAGGTTGTTTACTCAAAATGTTGACTCACGTCAAACTTAATCATTTTAAGCCATTAACAAGGAACTAGGTATTTCGATTTCAACCCGAACCCTTCCAAACCCGAACTAACCATATTCGCAAGTCATAAAATAGCAAAAGCACATACGGGGAGTCTTAATTAAGGAAACGGAGATCTAGAAAGCAAAATGACCGATCGGGTCATTACATTCTCCACTTCTTAAACAAACATTCATCCTCGAACGGGGCTAGAATCATACCCGGAGCACCAAATATGTATGGATATATGATCCTCATGTCCTCCTCAGCCTCCCAAGTCGCTTCCTCGACTGGCTGGCCCCTCTACTGGACCTTCACCGCAATAATCGATTTGGACCTCAACTAGCAAACCTGTCTGTCAATAATGGAAACTTGCTCCTCCTCATAACCCAGGCTCTCATCTAGGTGAATTGTGCTTTAGTCTAACATATGCGGCCTATCGGCTTGATACCTCCGGTTCATAGACACATGGAAGACCGGTTGAACTCCCAATAGACTGGGGGACAAAGCAAGCTCAGAAGCAGCATCCCCAACTCACTGCAACACCTCAAATTGGCCAACAAACCTTGGGCTCAACTTGCCCTTCTTCCCGAACCTCATGATCCCCTTTATCGTCGAAACTTTCAAGAGAACCTTCTCGCCCACCATAAATGATATATCATGCTCCTTCTGATCCACGTAACTCTTCTGTATGGATTGTGCTATGCGAAGTTGCTCCTGAATCAACTTTACTTTTTCCAAGGCACCCTTCACCAAATCAGTACCATTTAACTTAGCCTCGCCACGCTCAAACCATCCGATGGGCGAACGACATCGCGGACCATATAAAGCCTCAAATGGAGCCATCGCGATGCTGGACTGATAAATGTTATTGTAAGCAAACTAGGCCAAGGGAAAGAATCTATCACACTGATCTACGAAGTTAATGACACATGCTCTGAGCATATCCTCTAGAATCTTAACTGTCCGCTCTGACTACCTGTAGGTCTGCGGATGAAAAGTTGTGATGAGCTCGACCACGGTACTTAACTCACTCTAAACTGCTCTCTAGAAGTGAAAAGTGAACTGAGGGCCTCTACCTCCTATGATGGAAACAGGCATACCATGCAACCGAACAATCTCCAGAATGTAAATCTAGGCCAATCTCTCTAAAGGATACGTAGTCACAACCAGAATAAAGTGTGCTAACTTAGTCAACCTGTTGATAATGACCCAAACTACATCAAGCTTCCTCAAAGTTTGCGGAAACACGACTACAAAGTCCATAATAATGCGCTTCCATTTCCACTTAGGTCTAACCATCTACTGAAGTAGGCCACCTGGCCTCTAATGCTCATACTTAACCTCTTGGAAATTTAGACATCTCTCCACATACTAAACTATGTCCTTCATTATTCGTCGCCACCAATAGTGCTTCCTTA